GGGAGGCGGGGAGGACTTCCGAAAGAGAATTCCAACTTTTCCTGGACCGGATTCCCCTCGGGCGTCCCGAAGAGGGCAGACCTTCCTTTCCAGAAACTTCAGTCGGTTCTTTAAGTCATCTAAGTGGAAGACACAAGAGGCCCGTAGCGCCCCGGTGCCCCCTGGACCGGAGCCTCTCCCTGCCCAAAGCTCCACGCTTAGCCTCGTCCCTCCCCGCAGGATGTACCTAGGCGGGTCCATCGCCAGCCGGGGAGAGGGGTGTGGGCAGAGCGGGGACAGGTGCAGGGAGGGACCCGCCCCCCTCAACAGGTGAATCACTCCAGTTGGGCCTCGGTTCCCGTGAGTTACACTCTGCTCGGCTCCGCCCGGGGAAGGAGAGGGCGGGACAGGATCCCCAGTCTGCAGGCGCCCTCCCGGTGGCCTGGTCACTTGGTTCCGACCCTCGGGGCTGGAGCGCACCTGGGTCAGCCCACTTCCGGGGAGGGAGGTGGAGGAGCCCCTCCCCGCCGCCCACCCCCTGGCCCAGCCCTCTGGTCTCACCCAATGTACCTGGGCCGATCCATTCCCCAGAGTGCGCAGGGGGTGGAATGGCTCGGAGAGCCACAGTGGGTCAGGCAAGTTTCTCCCCGAAAGCTGGAAGCGTGCTCCTCTTCCACGTTATTTCCGCTCATTAAAGTCCTGGAACAGGGCAGCGTGGGCTTGGAATAGGGACAAGGAACGGAAGAGGGAAGGGGAGGAGCACGCACCCCTCCCAGCCTTGGTGCGCGCCGCGCCCCCTACCCTCTCGGTACCAAGTAGGGGACGCGCGGACCGGACGCGCCCAGACGGCCGCGATGGCGCCAGTGGCCCGCGGGCTACCCTGGGGCCCGGCCTTTCGGGGCTGGGGCGCGGCCGTCTTCGTGTGGGTCTTTCTCAGAACCTTGTGCACAGGTACGGAGCGCCGGGCCTCTGGTGCGGCGGAGCCGCGGGAGGGCACTATAGATGGGGCATGGATGGAGTTCTACACCGCCGAACAGGCTGCAGAGCTGGGGGAGGGGGAGAGCCGAGACTAGGATCTCCTGATCCCCAGGGTCTCGGGAAATCCCTTGGGTGCCAGAGTGAGGGGAAGTCCCCATTGGAGTCAGGGAGCGCTCCCCCGGCCTTGTTCAGAGACAGCAGGAAGTGAAACTCCCCGAACCGCGAGCGCTGGAGCGGCAAGGAGAATGGGACCCTTTGTGGTGTAGGGGTGAAGGACCACCCGATCACTGGGAAAGGCCGGGATGGGGACTTGGGCGGACCCCGAGATTTCTAAGTCTTGGGGTAACGGGGAGCGGGCACTCGAGGGACTGGATCAGACGCTTTCTGGAGAGAGAATTCAAGAAACCGTGCCCAGGCCTCGGGGGGGGTGTAGGACCGGGGACTCCCCAGCCCCCAGTCCCACTCATGTCCCGCAGTATCTGCTTAAGGGTCTGGTGGGATGGACGTATGGACTTGGTGTGAAATCATCTTCTGGGGGCAAGCTTTCACCTGGATCGGGTGTTTGTTTGGGGCGGGGTGTGGAGGGGACTTTCTCTCTCCCCAAGCACTTTTGGTGTGTTCCTTTGAGATGGCTTTGGGTAGGGTGAGGTGGGACGCTGATGGAGACACTGGGGGGGCTTTACCTACTCCATAGCAAAATAGTTGAGTGAAAGAACTCCAAAATTCCACGCCCTCCCCCCCCCCATCCACAAAGCCCGGTGTTACCTGGAACCTGTAGTGGTGGTTTTTGCGGTAGGACCTTGAGTGTGGTGGCTTTATGGTGGTCATTTGTGCTTTCCTGTACTGGCCACAGAGAGAGGTCCTTTCCCTGAGAGAATGGCTAAGGGAAGAGGGAGCTGGGTTCAGAGGCCACACTCTGGGAAGAGGGATGGACGGGATGTTCCAAGAAAGCTGGCTGTGTGACCTTGTACTTGCCACTTTGGCCCCATGGGTCTAGAAAATGGGCACGATTATCGGAGCTTACCTCTCCCGTCCTGGGATTAAGAAACAATGTGTGCTAGGCACTCTGCAAAGCCATTACACTTGTAAATGTCAAGCGGGTGACAAGTGATGTTGCCCATTCCTGCAGCAGTACTTCCCCGAGCTCGCTCTCTCTGCTAACTCTCCTCTCGCCCTCAGCCCCGGCCAGCGCCATCCAGGTGACGGTGTCAGACCCCTACCACGTGGTGATCCTATTCCAGCCCGTGACCCTGCCCTGCACCTACCAATTGACCACGACCCCTACGGCACCCATCGTCATCTGGAAGTACAAGTCTTTCTGCCGGGACCGCATCGCCGATGCCTTCTCCCCGACCAGTGCTGACAACCAGCTCAATGCCCAGCTAGCAGCGGGTAACCCAGGCTACAACCCCTATGTGGAGTGCCAGGACAGCATGCGCACTGTCAGGGTCGTGGCCACCAAGCAGGGCAATGCTGTGACCCTGGGAGACTACTACCAGGGCCGAAGGATCACCATCACAGGAAGTATGTTGGGCGGGGCAGAGGGGCGGGGCGGGGCTTGCTGGGGTGGTGATGCGGGCTCCCTCTGCCCAGCCTGGTGTCCCCACCTGGCAGCTCTTGAGCACCAGTGCCTGAAACGATTGACGAAGGGATCCATCCTTCCATCCGTCCATCCGTTCATCCATCTATGCTTTATTTAACAACAAAGGTTAATTGAGCACCTAAGATACGCAGGCGCTCTTTGAAGCTGGAAATAGAGCAGTAAACACGTTCATCAAATCCCTTCCCTCCTGGAGCTCGCATTCCAGGGAGGGAGGCGAACAAGATAACACATGCTGGCAAGTGCTTGGAACATAAAATTGGGTAAGAAGAGAAGCAGGGGTTCTTTTTTTTTTTTTTTAAG